AATGTAACGTTTATTATTTACATAGATGCCAATCGATTTGCAGTGACAATTATTAATCGATAATGACCAAATAACCAATATCGATATAACTCTAGTTAAGTATCTGTCGAAAAAAATTTAAATTCGAAACAACTGCTAAACACTTAGGTGTTAGCAGATCTTCAACAAGTCAAGTTTCAACCAATAGAGTTAACGTCTGAAATCTAATTTTGACAGAAATAGATGACTTATTTATAAAGACCGGGGTAAAATCGCCACCCAAAGAAGTTTCGAACACTAAAACTTCATATAACTTAACAATCACTTACTAAATCAATTATGTTAATCATGATCTAATCATGAATTGACAATATATCATTATTTTCGAAACTTTTTTGGGTAGCGGTCCCGGATCACTGGTTAATCCACCTTATATATCTAAAAACTATATTGGCTAGGTGCTGGGAAAAGGGCCGAAAATGACAATTTTTCTTTACATAAATCAATTTAGAATAAAATTAGGACAATTTTTTCACTTAAGATACGAAAGTAGTTGTATTAATAAAATTTTGCAGTATAGCTCTTTAAAGTTTGCATTTTATTATGATCTATTTAATATTTATAATATAAAAATTTGTGATTGCCAACCACTTCCGATAAATTATCTATCTCTAAATTATGCCGAAATTTATCCGAATTTCGGAAAAACTCATTTATAGATTTTCACTCATATACTTATATGTTTAATACAAGCCTAACGATTTTGAATATATAGTTCCGACGGGTCTCTGTAAGATAACGGTCTTTGCGATATTCAAATGCAATAGATTTAAATATTATGCTTATTTCTTACCATAACCACATTAGTTAGTAATTTTAGGCAGTTTCAACTTAGGCACTTGAAGTTACAACTTCAAGCAGATGCTAACTTTCTGTAAGATAACGGCTTTTGCAATATTAACACGCAACATATTTAAATACTACTAGTACATTACCCGTCGCTTCGCTGACAGATAAGAATAAAGAAAAATATATAATATTGATTAGTGTAGAGAACTGCATATAGTAAGTAGTGTGACATAATGCATTGAACTTAGGTAGCACATAAGAGCTTCAATTTTGTTTGGATAAGAGCGATGGTAAAAGTTTTAGCAGAAATTACTTAAAAGTTTACTAATGGAATGGCAGCCACGCCAGAAATTAGTAAACAATTATGTAATACGGGGCAAAATTTTAAGATCCACGATCATTAGGTAATAAAAATCGAGGATGAGCTGTGCAGCACCTAGGTTATAGATGCTTAAGGAAACCATTTGTTTCTAATTGTTATATTAGTATTTATATATTGTAGTATGTGACAATTGTCATGGTTTTGTTATGCATCACTTACTTAGGTTTAATATACAATGTTTTACATAGTGAAAGATTGCATTTTGTAGATATTACATGTAGTATAAGTAGTAGAATGGTTAGTAAAAATATAATTAGTATAGATTGAATACTTAGCAATAGGTGTCCAGTGTATTATGTATTTATAGTATTATAGTAAAATTAATTAGTAAAATTTTTCATGTAACATTCAAATAAAATACTATGGCAACAGTATAAAATTAAATTAGTTTATTATTTATCGGGTTATGAAAAAAATTCTCCATTAGATTAAAATAAGTAGTGTACTATGCTTTCGTGCGAAATTTTAAATAGAGTAATATATTGAATGTTGAGATATATGCAAATTTTCTACAACAAATTTGCAAATTTCAAATTGTATCTTCTTGATATTCTATGTGTTAAACTGGTTTGAAATTTTGGGTGAAAGCATAATGGATAATATATTTTAATAAAATGAGAAGATTTTTTTTAATAACCACAAAACTAATGAATTATTACATTCACATTAATAATAAAAATACTGCGACAATAGTGTAATTTAAATAAAAATTCAATTAGTTTTGTGATGATGAAAAAAAGTTTCTCATTTTAATATAATAGATATTATGCATTATGTTTTCACGCGACATTCAATGTATTAATCTATTTAGAAACTTCGCAAGAAAGTATAATGAATGCATATTTTAATGTAATGGAGCTTTTTTTCATGTGATAAATAATAAACTGATTTAAGTTTTATACTGTTGCTGTGGTATTTTATTTGAATGGTACATTGAAAATTTTACTAATCTATTATATTACAATTAGTTTTACTATAATATTATAAATATCGATATGTTTGATCTACATAGTACACCGACACCCCAACGTAGGGGGTGCCCTTATGTCAAAGAAATCGCGGGTTGAAGATCGCTGAAGATGACTTCCGACCATATCGGGATCTAATAAAATCACAGGGTCTCGTGTAAAAAAACACGCGTGAAAAACATAAGAAATTGTAAAAAAACGTAAATAACACAAGAATTTACTATGATAACTAACTTATGACCTCTAAGTAAAAGTTTTCAGAATGAAATTTTACTAATAGGACACAATTATTAATGTTATATATATAGTGAATTTTTGAGATACTACGACCATATTTTGTTGGCCGACAGCTCGGAATTTCTTGACATAAGGGCACTATAAGGGCACCGCAACGTAGCACGTATGCATATTTTATATTAGTTGATTATAGTTGTTAGGAGTCAGCGATTTTGGTATTAGGTAAGTAAACTAATGAACAACGAAATCAATAGTACTTTGTAAATATAATTATGGATAGGTTCTAGTAAGTGTATAATTTAATAGAATGAATTAAATAGTAAATAGGATTAATTGATATGGTAATGTAATTAAGGTTAGTAAAATAGTATATTAAGTATAAGTAGTGAAATAATTTTGGAAAAACGATAGTAAGAATAAATAAACTATTAAATAATTGGATTTGGAAAGAATTGGTATAGTAGTTAACGGTAAAGCTCATTTTTGTACGTAATAATTAAGTAAAATAGGTAACAAATAAGCAGAGAGAAAATAAATAATAATATGTATGGTAATAAGTAATAAATAGTTTAATAATTTGCGTATAACAAAATTTATTTTATTGTTAAAGAATATATAAATCAAAATAATTAATAGTATAGGAATAATAGGAGGTAAAATTTTTTAAATAATAAGAAATTAAATATTTAAAAGAAAAAATTTATGTAAATAGGAGTAAAAACCGAATATACGAATAATGTAAAATAGAGTAGATTTTAAGGAAGAAAAAAATAGTAGTAGTTAAATATGGATGTGTACAAATAGAGTATATATAACAAAAGAAAATAGAATAATTAAAATAGGAAAGGGTGAAATCCGTGTAGAGGGGAAAAGTTTCTTTATGTAGTTGCGTACTTAATTAGAGGTAGTTTTTACATTAAGTAGGATTTGTGGTTATAATAAAATTATCTGTGTGCGGGTTCACTCTGTTATAGTAGTTAAACTAAGGAGAATTAGTAATAGAATGAAAATAAAAAGTAAAATAAAAAAAAATAGATACTTAGCTAGGGTGTGCTAATAAGCAAAAATGTATATAAAAAATGAATTCTTAATAAAAGACTTTGCGATAAACAATGTTTGAAGTTATGTTACGATTGGCTTCAATATCTTGATCGTGATGAATAATAAGGAGTTTCAAGTTTGAATGTGAAGTAACATGTGAACAGGCTACGTAGAGTTGACCATGTGAGAAAACTGGAGTTGGAAGGTATAAACCTACAAAATTTAGTGTTTGTCCTTGAGATTTGTTAATAGTTATTGCAAATGCTGGTTGTATTGGAAATTGACGACGTTTGAAAATGAAAGGTAAATCAACATTTGTAAGAGATATGGTAATGCATGGAATGAAAACTCAGGTTCCAGAATGTTTTCCAGTAATAATTTTAGCTTCAATAACATGTCTTTGAAATGAACAATAAATTAATCTAGTTCCATTACATAGACTGTTAGTAGGATCAAGATTTCATAGTAATATAATTGGAATGTCAAGTTTTAAAGTGAGTTTATAAGGAGAAAGACCTGGTATTGTTAAAGAATTTAAAAATTCAATAGGATATATATGAGTAATATCAGTTTGATCTTCGATAGTATTAGTACTAAGATAGTAATTAGCTTCACCTGGAAAATGATCCATAATGATGGAATTAATAGTATTCACATGATCATTTCTTGGAACTAGTATGATGTATTCTATAAAATAATGTAAATTTAATTGGGAGTTGAAATCAGGATATACAACACCTAATAGGTCTGATAATTGTTATGATTGTAGAACTATATCTGTTAAGAGATGAATATTATATCTTTCATTCTCAATTGTAGGTATAAGACCTTCTCCAATTTTAATAAACCATGTAGCAAATTCTTTATACTCAGATGAATTAGTAGGGTTAGTATTAGAACAAAGATGCATATTGATTGTTAATGACATAATTTTAATATGTTTCTATAGAGGGGAGCATTTCAAAAAGGTGCATACAATATCTTCATGGCCACCTCTTATAACAACAGAAAGAATTTGGCGAAAGTCTCTTCCAAATACCATAACTTTACCACTAAAAGGCTTTTTTTTCAAAATAGGATTTAAAGCTTTCATTAAGTCTTGTAAAGTGCGATTGAGAGCTTCCAGAGCATATCTATTAACCATTGGTGCTTCATCCCATATTATAAGTTTTGCTTTTTGTAAAGGTAAAGCAAGATCAGAACTATGAGATATAGAGTATGTGGAATTTTCATCTATGTTGATAGGAATTTTAAATCTGAAATAAGCTATACAATTACTAGATAAAAGAAATGCAGCGATTCCAGAAGTTGCTACTGTGAGAGTAATATAACCACTTAGATGAACTTTTGCAAAAATAATATTAAAGTTTTTTAAAAAAAATTGAGATTATAAAAAATATAAGTTATTTTTAGTAATAAATTGCTTACTTGTAAAGGAATGTCTTTTCAGTTCCACCTAAACCATCAACAAACAAAATAATTGGATCACTATTTTCTACAGTGGATATAACTTTCGAAAAAATAGTGGTTTGTTTGACATTTAATTAAAGAACTCCATTTTGGACTATTTCAGTAAGTTCAATGATATTATAACTTTGTTTTTCTCTAATTAAATGATTTATTTGATCTTGATTAAGGAAATTAGTTGGTAGCAGCATGTTAGGAAAATCACGAAGATATTTTTCATGCCTATTTAAAATAAATTCTAAATGAAGTAAAGAGTGATTATATATGATAGTATCTGTAACTGGAAGAGAAGTATCATTAGTAAGTTGATATCTAATATCATCACTAAGAAAAGGTAAATGTTTTTTTCAAGTTTTTCAGGATTAATAGAATTACAAAATAAGAGGAGGGTAGCGAATAAAGCACATAGTTGCGATTCAGATTGAACATGTATAGCTTTAGCTAAGCATAGATTCCATTCATCATCATTATCTAGCAAACCTAACGCAGCATAAGCATCTTTAAAAGTACTGTATGATATACCATTAACAGTGCAAAGGTGTGTATAGGAGGTTGCACTACAAACAACATTTAACAAAAGTCTTAGATAATATTATTCACCTGCTAATAGGTGAACAAAATATATATGACCTATAACATTTCCATGTTGGTGTGGTTTCCATAATTTAGTTTGATGGTTGTAAACCTATTGTATCAGAAAATCTGGATATGTGAGATGTCTTGCTTCTGGATATGTTAAATTAGCATGAAACTATGCAGTAAGCATTGTTTTTTCATTATTAGCATGTGCAATGACATCTGGGTAAGTTTTATTATCATGAAATGATATTCTATATTGGTTTTCTAAATGAACTTGAAGCTGTATAATTGCAGGATCTCTATTATGAAGTTTATAATGAAACAATCTCCAAGACGTTTCAGAAGCAGATACATAGCGAGCATCAAGATAGAGGCTAATTTCGTCAGCATTTCTAAGTTGATTTTGCTGATTTGATTGATTTCTTAGTTCTATAGTAGTGCGATCATGTCTTTTATAAACATACTTAAAGAGATATTTTATAGCAGCTATAGATGAACAAATTTCAACATTAATATGACAATTATATTTAGCTGGGTTATAAGGAACTACTTAACGGCTATCTAATGTAGTTTTATATACATCTACAGTTTTAGTAATGTGTCTTCTCCTGTAGATAGGATAACCATCATTGTTTATCGAAATAGTTTCTTGAAAATGTTGTGGATAGCCTTTCAAGCATTTGCCATCTACAAGGACCATGCATCATAAATCGTTTTATAGTTTCAAATATTAAAGAATTCAAAATTTGATCTGGAATCTCTGCTGATACAATGGCATCATAGTCATCAATTGATTTTGGTTTATGTTCTTGAACAAGAATGAAAATAAGATGTGTATAAGATAAGCCATGCTTTTGGAATTCAATTGTGTAAACATGAGCTATAACTTTTCTAAAAAGTTCTTCTTTTAAAATATCATTAAGCATAGCTTTTAATTTTAAATTAAACACATGAGCAATCAAATTAGGTCTATCCTGGACTGTTTGGTTTAGAAAAAGAACATTAGTAATTTCTGGCCATTGCAGATTGCAAGTCATTATAATAAAAAGATTAGGTTTTCCAAGTACTCTCACAATAGCCATAGCATCTTGATAAAGTTGGTGCATCTGACGGGACCCTCCTGTAAAACTTGATAGTAAAATTATATGCTGTTCTACATTTGACATTCTAGGCAAAACATCAGGATTGTTAACAGTTTGCATTATGTTCTGTAAACTATTATATAGTTCTGAGTGTATTTGATTTTGGTTAAATCTCAGATAATTAAGACATATTTGTTCAACAGTAGCATACATATTAACAATTCATTGTTGAAAAAGTCTTCCAAATAAATGCAAAACTATAGGTTCATTTGGATGGCCAAGGTGAAGACAGTATGCAAAATAATTCATAGCAGTAACGTATTTTCTTGTAGATATTTTTTCTTCATCATTTATTATTAATGCATCTATATTAGCAAAGTCATTTATTGACAAAGAAAAAGAAATATGAGTTCTAGATATATTTGGATGCCAACTGTTTTTACCTCTAGGAAATATAAGAACATAATGCAAAAGTTCATAAGTATGATGTATTTCTGATATTCTTTGCATTTTACTGTTATGTAAATAGTGAACAATATCACAATGATGTACATCAGCTTCTTGACCATCTTCAATCATAATAATTGCAACTTCTGTTGCACTTAGAGTATTGTAATGTCTAGGGTCTTTGGTTTTGTTGTCTGTGATGACCATCTTTAAGTTAACAGATTGATTCGAACTTACAATATCTCTAACCTGTCTAAATATTCTACAATAAGGATTAGTATAATGCAACATGCATTGAAGTTCTGATAGAATAGAAAGATTAAGTTTGGGTATAATATTCATTCTATTCTGTAATTCGTGCTTGGTATCATATATATATATCTAAGCAAATTGAGAAGCATTTGTAGTATCAGAAAGTAAGCCACCTATGCTGTGATATATTTCACTATAAATGTGAAAACTATACAGGTCACTTGTTCCTATTATAGTATGATTGATCTTGGTACCCAAGGATATAAAAGATAATACAGAATTATACATTCTAATATTTTACCTAAATAAACGTATCTCAGAATCTGTTCTAGTAAGAAGTATACTTAAAGGTAGTAAGAGAGTGTGAAAAAGAGGGAGTTGAACTTTACCTTCTGCACAGCAAGTTGTAAAAAATGGTGGTTGTTTAGATGAATGAATTTTTTATTCATCTAGTCACAAAAGAACTCCACAATGATTACACCTATGATGCATATCATCTAGACTGTGATGGCTCAAACCACATGCAGACCATGGATAGATACACGCTTTTAATCTTTGCGCATGAGCTGGAACAGAAGAAATAACAGGCACAGGCAAAAAAAAAATAATAGGTATATCTTCTTTACTAAACCTAAAATCATAAGTCTAAGATGAAAAGGGTAGAACATTAATATTTTCATCAATAATACTTATACTCTCTTCTATTTGTAAAATGTTAACAGTATATTCGAGTTGTTGTCTTGCTTCAATACTTCGATCTGAAATGGCAATTTCTCTTGTAAAGCTGAGGCCAGGTACTGGTGTTGATGCTTCATGTTCAGTTATTTTCTTTTTATTTCATGACCTTTGTTGATGTTCACAATTAAGTCACTTTCTGTAGGTTTCGGGAGTCTCTTTCATCTTTATATTTAACTAAAATAAATAATAAAAATAAATATCTATTATATTAAAATTATATTTGCAGAATGTCTGTTTTGACTATAAAAAGAAAAGTAATAGTTGGTATGTAGAGCAAAGTTAAAAATGTGAATTATCAAATCTTTTTATCAAAAATTTTAATATAATAGATTATCAAAAATTTTAATATAATAATTAATATAATAATAGATAATAGATTAACAATACATATAACATCTATTAAAATTAAAAAGTGTGTTGTAAGAATATCTATCTAATTAGGAAAAAGTCAACGTGAATAAGTTACACGAATTAATAAAAAACGTGATAATGATTACACGAGTAAAGTGATCAATAGGAATGATAAACAGCTCGGTTTAGTCAGTTTTCGAGTTATTTAGAATCGAGTCATTTAAAGTCAACTCTAAGTTGACTTCAGTAATATCATATGACATTTATTAAATTCAAAATATTGTTAGATCGTAGATTAGTACCTCGTTCCAAGTCACAAGTTTTCTTATTTTAGTTCTTTTTATTTTTTTTAGATATTTTATTATCTTTTTATTATATCTGTATATCTATTATATTAAAATAGATATTTATAATTCGTTATTTAGTTATAATTCGTCCTGTTCATGCCCTTGTTTAGGTTTAAGAACTGTGGTAGCTACGCATCTAAACATTAAAATGAGCAGTTGGGGCTAAGGTATATATGCGAATAAGCCATAGATTAGTAAGATGAGCAGTGTGGCTTCGTGGCACCATAGGATGGACGTAGCAAATGTTCACGAAGGAATGCTGAGCATGACACAGACACGTTAATATCACTATTAATGTTACACGAATAAGGGGATATCGGGTTACAATTAACTACAAAGTTTTTTTATACAGAGTAATCTAAACGTTACGCACCATGTGACTGCAACGATTTTTTATACAGAGTAATCTAAACGTTACGCACCATGTGACTGCAACGATTTTAATATAATAGATGTTTATTTCTTACCATATATACGACGGGCTAATTACAGACAGAAGTAGTCAGTACTCACGTTACCGTGACATTTTTCTGCCATGACTAATCTACCTCTTTTTCCAGCACCTGGCCCATATAACAAAATAATTTAGATTATATCTCTAATTTATTTTATAGAAATTTATTATACCAATAGAGTTTCGGGATTTCGGATAAAGTTTTGGGTTTCGGATAAGATTTCGGGGTTTTGGAAACTATAATCCGAAACTTTCGGATTTGGCCAAAAAGGTTTCTCTATTTAGAATCTCCGGCCCTATAATTATTTGCAGATCTTCTTCATTTTGAATTTATTCACGTTCAACGCGTTTAAACCATCACAATTTTTTTTTCTGAAAACATATCCGTTAAATAACAGAATATATCACATAACAAAACATTAAATGTTTTTAAATAAAATGTTATCAAAATTTAGCACATTACAAACTACAATGTTTGAATATATAACAATAAAAACCATATGCAAAATTATATTAATTTTCTTACTATTAAGCTTCCTCATTGTTGCCTTAGAACTAAGAGAACAAGAGTTCACAGAATCGTTTGAGGTAAAGCATTTCTTAAAATATTTTAAAAGATAATACATAAAAATTAACGGTTTCAAAATGTAGGAAATACATAATACGGATAAATATATTGAGGAGAATATAATAAACGAGAACGGAATTTATAATGATTCAAAAGAGTATACAGTTCAAGATACAATAAAAGAGAATGCAGCTAAAGAGAGTACAGTTAAAGTAGATACAGCTCAAGATGATACAGTTAAAGAAGATATAGTCGAAGAGGATACAATTAATTCACCTCTTGAAACACCACTAACAGAGGACGAAAAGATCAACATAAAATATTGTCAAGAGAAAACATGTAAATTCTTGTTTCCATACTCTCACCCAGAACAAGAGACTCGCGCCAATATTCATGTTCGCCTTTACACGCAATTAGCACGATCTCTAAATCGTACTTTAGTCCTATCAAACGTTGGAAATTCAAAAGTTAGAGCATGTGCTCTATATCCATTTGATTTCTATTATGATCTAAAAGCATTCCAAAAAAATTATCCTGACATTCGATTTATAACTCAAAAGAAATTTTTTGAATGGACAAAAGAAAGAAAAATCAAACCAATGGCCCAACATTCACGGATGGTTCAAGACGATAAAAACGATTCAGACGTTTATCTAACGACTATGGGTGTGATTGAAGGTGATAAACTTGGAAGCAAAATAACAAATTCTTTCTGCTTAGGTATATTTAATCTAAACATCACGGATTATAAAGAATTTCATACAGGGATTGGAAAGTTAGATCGCAAAGCAATGTTGAAACTTGTTACAAACACTCTAAATTTACCAGAACATGAAGTAATAATGATATTACATTTGTCGACTAAAGAATATTTTCCAAAAATTGATAAAGTAATTCCATATTCGCCGTCTATTATTAATGAATCCAAAAAAGTCATAAAGAAATTAAAGCCTTATATAGCTGTTCATTGGAGAATGGAGAAAGGTCAGCCAAATTTAATGCCAAAATGTGCCAGGGAACTTGTTAAAACATTAAAAAACCTTCAAAGAAAATATGGAATAACAAATGTATATTTGGCAACAGATTTTCCACTTAACGGTAATAAGCCCCAATCACTGACTTTTCATAAAATTTCCAACTTTCATAAAGAAGCTATTGAAATACTTGGACTAAATAGTAGATTTGTAAATAGATCCGATCATATAAAATTCGATACATGGATTTCGACGGACGCTTTCTCACAAATTAGAGACGACCCAAAGTACGAATCAGAATTTAAAAATGCTGGTATACACGGAATACTTGATAAATTAGTTTGTGTAAAGGCAAAATATTTCTTAAAGGGTCCAGAAGGTTGTGCTAGAACATCTAGTACTTTTACAAATGCTATTGTTAGGGAAAGAACAAAGTTTAAGAAGAAATATAAGTTGATTAATATTGTTTCCTTTTGGTGAAGTTCTGATGTATAAGTGGTTATGATAACAATAATCTTACTCTTTGTCAAACATTAACGATTTTATGTATTTGGAAAATTTATATTTGTTGCAGGATGTATTTTGGTGCACCTAATAGCAAATAAGTACAAATAATGATTAAAAGTTAGGGTATAGAGGCGCGGAATTTACGTGATTTGATGTGGTTGAGAGCTATCAACGCAAAAATTAATGAAATAAGTGATAGCGCATCAAATAGACAAGCCACAAATTTTTGATATGCATTTTTTTGGCATTTTTTTTTAGAGTCAAATAGAAATCTATCATTTCATTTTAATTCGATTTCATTTTGATTCGTGACACTAGATGCCTTTTTTTTTACTATAAAAACATTATAATACGATTAGTGTTGGCAATAATAGATAAATAGAACAATTCAGTTTTTTTTTTTTTTGTTATTTATATATATTTAACTAATTTTTATAATTTTAATGTTTTTATTACTAATTAAGAGACTAAATTAAACAAAATTAAAAAAATTCTGTTTAAGTAGATTACATTGATTTTTCAAAACTTATATCAAATAACATACTTTATAGTTATAGTTAGAGAAAATGACATAAAACAAATTTTGACATGCAAATAACATGATATTTGCAAAATTTATATTAATATACTATTTTGGCAATGCCATTAACTATATAATAAGTATATTCAATTTAGATTGGTTAGTTGTCATGTATTGCATAAACCTTCTTTCGGAATATTTTAGAATTTTTCTCTTGATCTTTTTCGTAATCTATATATACTTAGAATATTTTGAAATAATATATAAATAGCATGTTTTATTAACTGTTTGAGTATTAAACATGCTTATAGCATGTTATCATTGGCATATTATAGTGGTATGTCTGTAACTTTCATGCCATTTTCTCTAGCTATAATATAAAATATGTATTTTATTGTTCAAAAAATATTACAAAAGAGTTATAGTAACACTTAGTTGTATGTGTTTGCAATTAAAAAGTTGATTAGTTAATTTGATAAAAACAAATATAGTTAGGAATTTTAACAAATTTGAAATTATAGATCTTTTTTTTTGGTAAAAGATCTGCAATTAGAAAATTCTTTTTTTTTTTGGTATTAAGGTAACCTTTTTGGTTTTTTGACTTTTATTAAAGACTTTTTTTGGTACAGAAAATAGTATACAATTGGTTACACATATAGGTTTTCTATATTATCTATTTAAGAATTCACCTGAAAGTTTCTCATTAATTGTTATATCTAATATCTCTGCTTGGATGTTCTATTTAAACCTTCTAAATCAACAAACTGTGTTAACATTACTAGGTCATGCTTAAGTCATCACCTCAACTTTAGAATTATTTTAGCTTAAGATAAACTTTTTAAAGCTTTCTGTACTTATTTTTATAGTTGATCCAATATTGTTATAATAGAACTAATACTTAGAATTGGAGTTTTATCTTTAGCTACTATGCTCTTGTAAAGTTTACTCAAACCTTAGTATCTATTGCATAACATATTTCTAGTACTTTAGTATACTTTTGTATGTTTTTTAGACTTCTAATCTAGATAACTCATGCTTACTAAATGTTGTGTTGCAATTAGTTCTTTAGAAAGTATTAATTTAAGTTCAATTCAGATCAGTTAAAACTTAATAAAATTGTTAACAAGCAATAAGCTAAGTGTTGTCTTAATTTTATATTAATTTAATAATAGAACCTATTTGTTTTTAAACAATTATTATAACACAATGAATTCCTATCTAAATGTTAATTTAAACCTATTTCAGGTTAGTAAAATGTTGTATAAAGTTAGTTTAACAAAAAATATTATGCAAATAAACTAACTTAATGTTTTTAAAATCTGTTGATTCTTTAGTAAATGCTTTAATAAAGCTAGTTCTTTAGAAACTGTTAAATTAAACTTGTCTTTAGTAAGTTAATTTATTGAAGTTGGTTTAATTAAAATTGTATTAAATATTATACTAAATTATTTTTTTAATTTATTAGTCTTTTTTGTTATATTAAATTCTTTTAAAGGTTTTAATTTAAATTTTTATCAGGTTGGTAAAAGGTTTGAATAATATTAGTTCTAAATAATGATATTAAATATTATTAATAGTTTAGATATATTTTTTTAGAATCAATATTCAAACAATTAATTTTTATATAATGAACTTTATGAAAGTTTATCTTGTTTGAATTATCAGATTTTAATAATAAAATAAAACTAATAATTGTAATATTAATAGTTAACATAAATATTTATTTTATATTATAGTAAATAATCTATTTAATACCTTTAAAGAGATTAAAAAAACTTAATAGGTATGTTATGAAATGTGAATTTGCAGTTAAAAAAGGTATATCTGTATATGTGATAATGTAACTGTTTAAAATACTACTTGGATATATAATCAGTTTGAACAATAGCAATCTAAAAAAAAATTTGATTCTAATAACTAATGTAATCATAGTGCAATTGTTATAAATTGCAATTAGTAATACAGTATCAACTATTTAATGCTTTTTAATTAATAATAATTCAATTTATAATTATTTTATAGATCCTAATATTAGAAACTATACATTAAAATACTAATAATTAATTGAATAAATAATTAATAAAGTTGAATTATATTACTAATATTATGTTTAATTTATTAAAATAATTTATTTACTTAAAAATAAATATTCTAATTATCTTATTAAATTATAAAATATATATAATTTAATAAGTAAACTTAAAAGTACAAATCTAAGTTTATTATTAGTAATATTAACAATAGATTGATAGGCCTTTTTTGGCAATCTAATAAACAATTTTAACTATTATCAAAATTTAGTAATATTTGTTTGCTAAATATTATTTGCAAAACTAATTAATATTGGTGACTATTAGCATTAATAATTGTAATTGATAATATACTAAAAGCAGATTGATGGCTCAAGCATTATTACTTAATAAGTCTTTAGACTTTTTTATTTGATTTTTTAAATAATTTAAAAAAAATTTTATATATAAATCTAATATTATTTTTAATAATTCAAATTCTGCAATAACTGTTATAATTTTTAGAATCTTTTCATTAATATGTTTTTTTTTTAATATTAATAATGAGGCCATGTTTTTATCTTTATTGAATATTTATTTGAAATTTTTATATAAAGTATAAATTTATTATTAAAAATATTATAAAAAGAATAGAAGCTCAGACTAGTTTATCTATAACCTAAACTAACAGAAGTGGCCAAGGCTCATCTAAATTTGGTTATTAGTAATTATATATAAGAGATTAGTTTAGTATTTGATCCATTGTATATACCAGAAGTTAATTTTAGAATGAATTGAATTAGAAAAAAGAGATTAAAGTAAATGTGAAGTAAAATTTGAAAGTGAATTAAAAGTAGAAAGATGAGATATTGATTTTGAAATATAGTAGACAATCCAAATTTTATAATATATTTGTTGGTTAAGATGAAGTAAAAATTTAATAAAAAATGTTGTAGCTAATTTTTTGGATAATAAATTTGAGATAATAGAGATAATTTCATGGGGCACTTAGTTAAATAAGATTAAAAAGACTGATAGTAGGTCTACTGTGTTGTGTGTAGTCATACAATACAGTTGTTTAATTTAGCAATGTAATTTAGTTATCATTTCTGAAGTAGTGTCAAGTATATTTGTATTTAGAGTGTGTTGTAAAAAACTGTCAATAAGGTTGTATAACAGCTGGTCAAATGAACATGTTATCTAATAAAGATGAGAACTGGTTTCATGGCATTAATAACAAGTTGATGGGTATGAGTGATATTGTTTATGAAGAATATGAGGAGTAGGAAAATCATTGAATAAAATTTTAATTTTAAAAGATTTAAGAGCAGAAGATTGATTTTTATTAATATGTTATTATTTTAGTATATTTTATATTAATAATAATATTAAAAAAAAGTTTTATCAAAGCTTAAAGCACAACAATATAATCAATTTATAAATAATTTTTATTTGTATATAATACATTACAAAGATTTTTTTTAAACCTTAATTTAATTAATTAATTAATACTATTTAAAACAAATATATTAGTTAAAGCATAGTTGAACCTGTTGTTTTATTTTAATAATATTTATAGTAGATCAAAGATTGTTTTGAAACTGTTGTAATTTAATATATATAGAAACATTTAGTAAATAAAGATCATTAATTCATTAAAGAAAAGTAGTAATATGGTGTTGTAATCATATATCCTAAATGTTATATATATTGTATAGATAAAAGTGAAGCATTATACTATTAGAAATTAATTAGGTAAGATGAAATTTGTGTTTAGTAACTGTAAGATATTAGTCAGTATGCAATTATATATAGTTTTAAAAAGTATAATATTATATATTCTGTATTCTAATGTTGAAATAAAACTGTGTTAATAATATAAATAATTTGTTTATCTGTAATGTTTTTTGTGTTTGTAATATTAATTAGTTAAAAGGCTTTTTTTTGGTTTAATTTAATTGTATGAGTTGTATATTATTAAGTATAAACTAATAACCTAGATATTTGAAAAGTTGGTTGTTAGAAATAAAGTTAAAAGTAGAGTTAAGGAAGGTAATAGAGGTAGGTTTAGTATTTATAACAAATATTATTTAGTAAAATTAATATAAAGGTTGGCTATTTGGTAAAATAATGCTACTATTTAAGTAATTTGTTTTAACTCATTTTTGAATTAAGCAATCTATAATGTGTTATTTATATAAGCAAGAATTGAAATAAAGACTTAAAAATATTGGTATTAAGGAGGTTGTAAACTGATTTTCCATGATGTTAAAAGAATATAACCTATAAATTGAGATGCAATTTTGTGAATAAAAGGGTTATAGTAAATACACCAAAATAATAGTGTTATTGTTTCTTTTTAATTAATTTTATTTTTGACAGAATATAAATTTGTGAATCCAAGATTAGTTATAACTCAGTTGTGATAGTTATCAAGCAGATTA